AGAATACAGGAATCCAGCAGTAGTGGTAAACCAATGTTGTCACCAGCCAATGCAAGGACAGGTCCATCAAATCAACCACGGCCGTCACAAATTAATCCCAGTACGGGTGAAATCAGCACTTCCAGTAGCGATGCACGAGGTGATTTGCCTGTTGCAAAAATTGCTGAGAGAGTGAAACTTAAACCCACAAGGTCAGAAAGTGCAAAGGTCGTCGCTGAAAGACAAGTAGTTGGACAGGAACTCAGTAACGTTGGGGTGAGCATTAATATTTGGCTAAATACCTCTATATATATATATATATATAGGTACTAGCATAAAGACACTTTGTTAAGCATTTTGGAAAACTGAAAAGCCTTTTTTCGGGACAACATACAATTTTTCCTGGACTTGCTAGGACTGATTTGTTAAAAGTTTGTAGAATACAAGTCCCACATGTGCATATTGATTTGTTTCATAGACACTTAACCATTTATCAGGCATGCCTTGGTTTATTTTATTATTACTTGAAAAGAATATTACATGTGATAGGGTGTTGCATTTAATCTGACAAATATGTCAACCTTTGTCCTAACACATCTGAACCTTTGACCTAACACATATGTCAACATTTGTCCTAACACATTAACCTTTGACCTAACACATATGTCAACCTTTGTCCTAACACATATGTCAACATTTGTCCTAACACATATTAACCTTTGACCTAACACATATGTCAACCTTTGACCTAACATATATGTCAACCTTTGACCTAACACATATTAACCTTTGACCTAACACATATGTCAACATTTGTCCTAACACATCTGAACCTTTGACCTAACACATATGTCAACATTTGTCCTAACACATATTAACCTTTGTCCTAACACATATTAACCTTTGACCTAACACATATGTCAACCTTTGTCCTAACGCATATGTCAACATTTGTCCTAACACATGTTAATCTTTGACCTAACATATATGTCAACCTTTGACCTAACACATATGTCAACCTTTGTCCTAACACATCTTAACCTTTGACCTTGTAGGCAACAAATGCAAAGATAGCTGAACATCTGGTACACTCATTGCAGGACTGTTCCAATGTCCAGGAAATATTCCAGACTCTTTATTCACATGGATCAGCGATATCGGAAGGAAAAATACGGGAATTTGAAGTGGAAATGGAAAGACTGAACAGTAAAATAGAACATTTAAAATCCATGAATGACTTGTTGCAGTTAACATTGGAGGAAAGTAAAGCGAACGCTGACAGACTAACAATGCTTGTAGGCAAATATGAAAGTAACAATACAGCTTTGCATATGGCTGTGAATTACAGTGACCAGTGTTTGGAGACATATGATAGTTTGGTATTGTTGTTGGAAAGTGAGTTGCAAGTCATTCTGGGTAATTGTAGAGCAGCTGGACTGGGAACAACAGGTACTGTAAAATACTTTATTTTCACTGACATTTAATTTCATTATTTTCATGTTTTGAGATTATATAATGTGTTTTAATATGTCAAGGAAACAATGAGTTTTATTGTTATTTTACATGTTCATGTAGATTTAATTTAGCGGATTTCAAATAATTAATGCATTTACGTAATTTCATTTCATTTATATTTGCTAGTTCCTGCCTTAAGTGTCATGGCGCACAAAGCCATGCAGGGCCAGTAACTAGTTTATGATTGGTTTATCATGTTCTCATTATCTCCCTTGGTTACCAGACTTATGGGGGCTTCTATATATAAAGCAGGGTTTCCCTTTTACTTTCGTGAATATAAAACTGTTTCAGTCAGAGTGAATGAGCATGGCTTTATTGCAGTATTACAGAGACATTTATACAGAACGGAACTTGGAATGTTTTCAAATTACTTAACTTAGTCACATGCAAATACTATTTACCTGCATCCTACTTTCCATTTGCAAGGCATGCTGGGAACCAGCGAAGTCATTCATACTGTTACATGCTAGAGCGCCCTCTATTGTAGGTTTACAATTATATATTGTTTGTCTGTTGTCTCTCAAGATGGCTACCATCTAGGTACATACGGTATATTAGTTTGTTGAAAGCTAATTGACAAGCTTAATTCATTACTGACACTACTTTAATGAGCTGTTTAGACAGAATGTCATAATGATATGTAAAGCCAAAATCAGTCAAGAGTAATAGAAATGTTTGTTTGCACATATTTAGTGTTGCCTGGCACAAAAACATTAAAAAATAAAATGTTTGTTTTATGTTTCACAGAATTTTTTCAAAAACATAAATGTTGAATTTATATATTCTGGATAATAATGATAAATGCAAATTTAAAGAAAAATGAAAATTGCATAATTTTTAAATGAGAAGCAAAATTTCTTATCCTGTTTCTATTGTATGTGATAATGTATAAAGGTTCTATTTGTTTTGGGGTCTATGCTGCGTATATACCCGTAATGCTGTCAACTAATCTCAAGTACTTTTAAATTAGTATAGGTCTGGTTTATTCAAGAAGCGATGAAACTAAAAAAAAGAGGAAAGTGTAGAAAGTACACTGCCAATAAATATGGCGGCCTG